AGTCTTCTCTTCAGATGATTTCTTCAATCCTCTGTTTAGAATTACCCGTCTGACTTCTTGAGAGAATCCTCAGAGCACAAATATTTTGATCTTTTATTATCAGAATCATCCATCTGTTTGTCAAGCTTTCTTTGAACACATGCTTATTTTTTAGAAGGTAAATATTTCATAAACATCTGAGAAGTTATGTGCTCGATAGAAAGTTAACTATCATTGCCTATTGTCTTCTGAATTTTAATTTCTTGAACAAATTGTAAAATTTATTCTAATACAAATATTATCAAACTTTGATGATTTTAATTGATAATCTTGTTCTTGCAATGCTGAGCTAACTTGTTTAGAGTTAGTCATTGATCATACTTCAGATGAATCAATGAGCGTTCTTTCCTCAACAATGTCTTGTCTTCTGCAAAGTCTCTTCTGACAGAACCAATGATTGGATCTAAAAAAAATTCTGCTTGAATAGACGATTTTATCATGAAGTTCTTTTATATCATAAGATAACATTATTTCTTCTTTTGAAAAGATTCCTAACGAGACCTTATGATAAAGACAAGGGTGGACTAATTCGTTTCTTGAAAACATCTCATACTTCTCAAGGAACTTAATCAAAAGGGTTCAACAGATATAACTTCTTATCTGATGAATCTTTTCCTGTTAGCTTGTTCTTCAATTTTCTGGATTTAGACAGTAGTTGAAAATTGAATAACTATCATCTTAGAGTATTTCTTCACAAAGCGTATGGATCTTTATCTGACACTGTTAGGTGTTTGATCATCCATCAATAATAGAACCTGGATCTAATACCAATTGAAGGTGTGAAGAAAACACAAGAAAGGGGGGGGGGGGCAGTTGAATTGGGGTTTCCTTGTATAACTTTTGCTTCTAAGCATTATTCATTGAACAATGCTTCTGATTGTTACTTTTAAGTAATGCTTCTAATTAAGTTCAGAAAACATAAACTCTAAAGCATAAGAAAAAGTAAAGAACATGCGATATATCCTGGTTCACTTGAGAAATCCCCAAGCTAGTCCAGTCCACCCTTTCGAGGTGATTTCGCCTTGATCTCAATGACTTAATCTATTATAATCAATCTGATTACAATCGCACGGGCAACTGCCGATGACTAACATCCAATGACGCGTTCAGGGATCCAAATCGGATATAATGTTCATTGACCCAACTAAATCCGATTCTCCAGAATCTCCTATCAGGATTTCCTTCAAATGATATCCATCAGTGATCTTAGAAGGTTGACCTTCACTCAGTCCCATTTGAGATATGACTACCATTAACCCAATAGAATCCACTACCAAGATTTCATCTACAATGGCCGCAGCCAAAGTCTTATGATCTTCACTCGATCACTTGAAGAACCAACCAATTCTAAACATAATTTACATGAGTGCTTCTTATCAAGCAGATTACTCCTAATTTAAGTACCTATTGTTTGACACGATTTTGAGCAAAAACTCTTGTGTACAAATAATTTACATGAAGATCTTAAGCAATAACACAATATGAGCAATAACTCTTGTGTTTTACATATTTCTACAAGGATGAATAAAATCTAAATTAATTGCAGCATCTTGTAGTATTCTTGTCTTCATCTTCATTGTTTAGCAAGCTATGATCAACAACTCCTTGCTTCTTCATAATTCTATCAAGATGTATATGATTGGTAGATTGAATAACATCTTGTAGAATTATTCATATTGTTATAGTGGATGATAGCTTTTTGGTTGTCTTCTGATAATGGTAGCTTTCCTTTTTAACATTGAACATCAACAACTTGCAACTTGCAGTCTTGAGCAAACAACCAACTAACATACAACAAGCTCATAAACTATTTAAACATACAATTCTTTTTCTTATATAGCCAAGCAAAATAGAGTCGTTGGCTATTTGAAAAAGAGTCGTTACAAATAATACTGCTACGTCCTTATCTCTTCCACACTTCAAGTTAGTGGAGAGGTAGTGGCATAAAGCTTTTCGTACTGTGTACTATTGTACTATGTTACCGTTATATTTTTTCCTTCTGCAATTCATAGGCTTCTGCGAGCATGAAGTTAGAAGTGGAAACGTAACATAAGGTCTTCAGAACTTCAAGTCTTCAGAACTGCATCTTCAGAGTCTTCAGCACTTGGTCGTGAGAACCCGTTGTAATGAACCTTTGGATCAGAAGAGTGTCAAGTCTTAAGAGTCTTAAGAGTCACGTCTTTATAGTCTTCAGCACTTGATCTTGAGAACCTATTGTAGATAACCTTGGACCTTTAGAACTTCAAGTCTTTGAAATATTCAGACCTTATGTCTTTAGAGTCTTTAGCACTTGGTTCTTTAAGAATCCTTGTCTTTAGAACCTTGTTATTAAAAACACAAAGTATTCAACATCTGAACTTTATTTAGAAACATTGTCTTCAGATCTTTTAACTTTGTCTTCTTTAAAACAATTTGTCTTTTAGAAACTAAGTTTTTAGCATCTGGACTTCAGTATAAACTTTGTCTTCAGATCTTCTAACTTTGTTTCTTTGAAAAACATTGTCTTTTAGAAATGTGAGTCTTCAGCATCTGGACTTAAGTGACAACTTCTGTCTTCAGATCTTTTAACTGTTTCCTTAGAACATGTTGTCTTTAGAAGCTTGAGTCTTTAACATCTAGACTTTAGTAGAAACTTGAGTCTTCAGATCTTCTGATTGTTTTTTTAGAACAACATCAGAGCTTACACTTCAGAGCCTTATGGAGTGTCTTGCTACTGTTCAACATAACTTGTGTAACGGAGAAATGGAATCAATTCTCTTCTAATGTCTTGGCCACGCCATCCATCAGAAGTAGAACCTGTTTGTTAAGTACTCAACAATAAAAAACATTAGTACAAAAAAATTGTTCATACAATCATACTCATTTGTTATAATAAAAACTCAGATAATATTGCAGAACCAAATTTTGTTCTTACAATATCCAGCTTGAGATACTTGATAACAAGTCTTGCCTGAAGGCTTGATGGAAGTTATGCCCAAGTAGGTAAAACGCCTTGCATGAGGGACTGATAATCTCGTCAGACAGGCTATGTACAATTCTATCTGGAAAAATTAGATTCTCCAGGCTAGTTAAATCCTCGCCTGAGGGACTTAGTGTCTCCTCGGGTGGGACAAAACTCAAGGGTCACGCTTAGAAGATGCGATGAATATCCAGCTTGAGATACTTGATAACAAATCTTGCCTGAGGGCTTGGTGGAAGTCCTGCCCAATAGGTAAAATGCCTCGCCTGAGAGACTGATAGTCTCTTCAGTCAGGCTATAAACAATTACGTATGAAAGACTTAGATTCTATAGACTAATTAAACCCTCGTCTGAGTGATTTAGTGTCTCTTCAGCTGAATTCCCTAGGATATCTAAGATCTCGCGAGAGGAAGTACCGGTTCTCGGGATACTTCCATAAGTCGCGATTGAAAAAAGACTTTGTCTTCTACCAAAGGCCTCATTCTTAAGGAACTATGTAATGTTATATTTGTAAAATACCTCACTTAGGACAATTCCCTTAGACCACCCTAGAAGTGGCGACAATAGAAGGTTGCCCAAAGAGAGGTATCACCTCGCCCCGTAGTCTTCCCTCGCCCCCTACGTGGGAAACGTAGGATAAGACGTTTCTCGGGAAAAAAGAGAGTCAATGTCATTAACTGGGCCACGAATCCTTTGGAAATATAGATTCAACTGTCCACTATTGATTAAGTGGGTGGTGATCCTTCCCAAGGAAACCCTAGGTCCTAGATACCTCTATAAATACATCTTCTCTCAAGAAGAAGAGACAAACTCCAATTGATACATATTCTCTACACCCTAAAGAGCATAATACTATATATAACCTTAATACACAATATCCGATAATTATATGCTTGCTACCAAGCATCACCGATCGTCTATAGAGCATCTCACCTCACGCGAGCATGTCTCATAAATCACCTCAAAACACCATCGTACAAGATTTCTCGTCGTCGTAGGCAAGTCCTCACCATCATATTGTGTTATAAATCTACTAAGACCACTGAGTCTCCTTGACGTTGCAAGAGAAGCATGTTTCATAAATCACCTCAAAATACCACCGTACAAGACTTCTCGTCGTCGTAGGTAAGTCCTCACCATTATATTGTATTATAAATCTACTAAGACCACTGAGTCTCCTTAACGTTACAAGAGAAACATACACACCTGTACTTTTTTACTAATACATACTATATTATAAAATCTTGTATTAGAAGTGTTTTGGATATCATCTAGACACTAATTATACTTAGTATCACATATAAGGCTTTAAATATTATTATTCTAGATGAAAATTATTTGATGGGTTATATTATAAAAAATACTAATGTAACTAAAGAATCTGTTGGATAATTATATAAATTGTCTAAAAACTTACTCCTACTAATCGAAGTATTTTAATAATTCACCGTGATAAACCAAAAACCATATTAACCTTCATCTATAAAAATGTGTGAGAATGACAAATATAATTATTATAAGGTGCCGGATAAGATTTTCATGAACCAAATAAAGAAGTTACGTATACACAAGTGGAGAATAAGAGACAGAGAAAGAAAACAAAGTAGAGTGACAAAGATAGATTCAGAGAAGAAAATTTTATAGCGATCTTTTTTTTAAGATGTACAAGTTCCTATTTAGAATCACGTAGTTTTTTTAATGTTAGCTTTTAAATGATAATTTAAAAAAATTTAAATGATTTAACATATTCATATAAAGTATTTTTATACTGTCCGTATCCTTTAACTCTTTTCATATTTAGATATTTAATGAAGAATGATGTTTTTTAAAGAAATATTTTGCTACAAATTGATAATATAAAATTATTTTAAATTGTCCTTGCATATCATTTTTTTCTCGTTAAAAAATCTTACAGTTATGTAAAATCGGTGTTCTCTAAATTCACTGATAATATAAAAATTAAAATACAATAAATTGTTAAATGCCTATGTCATGGATTTGAATGATTATTAGATTAGTGCATGATTCACAACAATTTCATTCAAGTAGAAAAATGGTAGTAACTTATTCGGTGGAATCGCTTATTCTCGCTTTCTCTGTTCTCCAAATCTTTCGCACCAAACAGGTTTTTCATTATTCACAAATTAGTTCCATTGAAATTGAAATTGGAAGTGAAAGTACTCAAACGATTCTGATTCTGATTTCGTTTTCGTTTTTCCTTTATTAATTGCATTTATTTACTGATTTTATTGTATTTGGTGAATTTGTATAATTCACCCAATTTTTTATTCTTCATGAGTAGAATTATGAAATACAAAATTGTATATGTTTTTTATGAGCTAATCAAAGATTGGACGGCCATTGATATTGTAATAGTGTGATTGTGTGGAATTCAATTCAGTGACAAGAATTTGAATTTAAATTTTAGATACATTGAATAAGGAAGGTATCTAATCATTATATTAATATAGATTCCGAATGAATCAGATACATTAATTATTCAATATTGGTATATGGGTTTTGAATCTTGATACAATATAGTTTTTGACAGAGTATCAGGAAGGTGATTTGAAATTTAGAGAAAGAGAAGCTTGTTTTATAGTGAGAGGTGAAAATGACAATTGGAAGTCTTGCACCTGAGGCAGAGAATATGAAAATAAGGAAGAAGAGAGAAGTTGGTGATGTGAATGCACCTTTGTTACCTAAGTCTCAAGAAACAGATGGCGAATTTCATGAATTTAATGGAGCTTCATTTTCTGGGGCTGTTTTCAATTTGTCCACCACAGTTATTGGTGCTGGGATCATGGGCTTGCCTGCTTGCGTCAAAAAGTTGGGGATGGTGCCCGGTCTTCTTGCCGTAATCCTAACAGCATTATTGACTGGGAAGTCAATTGAGTTCATGATCAGGTTTTCAAGGGCCGGAAATCTTTCTTCCTATGGAAGTCTTATGGGGGATGCCTTTGGTAAATACGGAAAAGCACTGATAGAGACATGTGTTGTAATCGCTAACGTTGGTATTCTAATTGTTTACATGATTATTATTGGTGAGACCGTATTCTTAAATCTTTTACTTCAGAATTTATATGGATGTACTTTTACTGTTACCATCAGTTTCAGTTTTAGTTGATTAGTCTGTTCAGACAAGAGCTTAGGTTCTATTCAGTTTTGTTTTGTTCATATTTGTAGGTGATGTGATTTCTGGAACTGCTTCAAGTGAAATTCACCATTCTGGTATCCTTGAAGGATGGTTTGGTGTTCATTGGTGGACTGGGCGTACATTTGTTCTTGTTTTCACAACACTTGCTGTGTTTGCACCTTTGGTCAGCCTTAAGCGAATTGGTGAGTGACTGTACTTCTCCTGCATTAATTGACGGAAAAAATTAGAAACATATAACTGTGTCACTTATTAAGAAAATTATCACTGAATCGATCATAGATTAGGCAACAATGTTAGGAAGCTGACTCTAATCATATTATGATTTTAATACTCAGTGTTTAAATTTCTGTACCTTGGTTTTAGATGTTTCGTGGTACACTAGTATACTGCCCATATCAATACCGGTATTCATTCTCTGGTTGTTGCAGATTCGTTGAGATTCACATCTGCATTGTCAATTGGGTTAGCAGTTGTTTTCCTTATCATTGCTGTGGGGATCTCAATTTTTAAGATTATAAGTGGAGGCATTGGGATGCCAAGACTCTTCCCAATCATTACTGATGTAGCTTCGGTTTTTGATCTATTCACTGTAACCCCTGTGGTGATGTCAGCCTATATCTGTCACTACAATGGTACGAAAATGTTTGAATCCTTTTCATAGAACCTGGTTCCCGTGTTTTAATGTTTTTACTCAGAATAAACTTGTGTAATTCTAAGTTGTTTATGGATTTGCAGTTCATAACATAGATAATGAACTGGAGGATTCTTCATGGATGCCTGGGGTTGTTCGTACTTCCCTTACACTGTGCTCTTCAGTCTACGTACTGACAAGCTTCTTTACGTTCCTTCTATTTGGGGAAGAAACTCTTGATGACGTGCTTGCCAATTTTGATGCAAATCTTGGAATTCCTTTTGGTTCTGTGCTCAATGACATTGTTCGTATTAGCTATGCTGCGCATCTTGTGCTTGTATTTCCTGTAGTTTTCTATGGATTAAGGGTCAACATTGCTGGTCTGATATTTCCCTCGTCAAGAAGGCCTTTGGTTGCCGATAACTTCAGATTTTCATCAATTACGATTGGTCTTGTTGTCTCTATCTTCCTGGGAGCAAATTTCATACCTAGCATTTGGGATATTTTCCAGTTCACTGGAGCAACTGCTGCTGCTTGTGTAGGATTCATATGTCCAGCTGCAATCACTCTTAGGTGAGTATTATTCATTCTTGAGAGTGTTATTCACGTACTAAACAGACTTATTGAATGAATATGAAAATAATATTCCTGGTACATTTCCGAAAAAATATACTCGTAGCTTGAAACAGACGCATACTAAAAGTTTTACTAAACAGCGCAGGGTAATGGTTTAAGAATTCTAAAATACCTATCATTCCCTTGAAGTAGTTTTCAGAAGATTATTTATTATTCATGCTTTTGTTGATGATTGGTTATCTCAACAATTATGATTAAGCATTTCATTTCTTACAGGGATAAATACAACATAGCAACTAAAACAGACAGGATTCTGGCTATACTTATGATAATCCTTGCAGTCTTGTCAAATGCTGTGGCTATATACAGTGATGCCATTGCCTTGATCAAGAAGAATAAAACTTAAGGTGAATAATTTCTTGATTTGAACATAACTTACCATGGTTATATAACATTGGTTTTTTTGGAGAAGGTATATAAAGAAACTACCATGTGTATGGACATGGAATAAAATATACCCAAGACAACTGTCCACATGATTGGAAGAGACAGAAGAAATAAATAAAAACATAAACCAGTTTATTTATACGGTGTTTGACAACATATTTGTTGTCAAAATACCATTTCTCTTGTAATATGCTCTTCGCTGTTATAATTTGAGGAGGTTCTTATTGAATGTGCCTCAATATCCCAGGCTTCATCTCCCTCATAAATGTAAGAAATGAATTTGTAGGCACTTGTGTGTGCTATTAATGGCCAAAGGACTGAATGGATGCCCCCCTTGCTTATGAAAAATGGTGGCTTATTTATAGTCTGCTTTCTAAAATTCCTTGGAAATTTGAACTCTGTGCACTTCACAGTATTGCACAATTCTCATGTAGGTTTAGTATTTCATTGAATATATAAGCAACTTGCAAATTTATTCATATAAATTATTTCATCGAACGTGTGTAACTGTTGTTTTGACGTGCTATAACAGATTTTGTTTGATTTTGAGATTGATCAAAAATTTTAAGTGTGGTTTGAGTTGTGTATTGACTATTGATTGTGAAGGTGTGAGTATGAGAGGATTGACTCGAAATATATGAAAAATACTTTTTTGTAACGTTGTTAAAAAAATTACTTAAAAAAATATATTATAGTATTTTAATACATAATATTTAAACAAATGGATTTAAAAAACAAAGGTACTGTGATTTGTTGATTATAGCGTTTTTATTAGAATATTTAAAACAAGACTAAATTGTTTAATAAAAATTATTTATAATAAATCATATTCACGTCATTTTAAAAATTACTAATATTTGCGAGTTTGACATGACTCTAACAAGTGCAAATTTTACTTATTTTACATAAAATACAAGAAATCACATGAAATAACCTCAATTTATTGTTAAAATATGATACATTAGTTTTGTGAGCTTTTTTTAAGTATGTTATTCATGAGCACATGTAAAAATGGTCCAAGAAAACGTAAACACTACTACAAAAAATGATTTTTACTTCGGCTGAAAAATGGCATTTACCTCGATTTGATACACGGCATAACGAAGACTGGATTGTACGAGATGAGAAACAAATTGATCAAAGTTGGTTCCTTAATATAATTTTTTTCTCTCTTGTAATTATTAAAATAATTTTCTTCAACACATGTGTTAAAATTGTTTAATGTTGTTAGGAAAGTATAAATGTAGTTATTGTTGCTGTGTCGATTAAAATGTTTAATGTTGTTGAGTTTTAATATTTTTAACAACAATGACAACAACTAACATTGTTAAGTTACATTTATGTTTTCTTAACTAATAGCAAATATTTTTAACAAGTATGCATTTAAGAATATAATTTTAGAATATCTAGTGGAGAAAGGATGGTTTAACCAGGAGCATAGCAAAGAGCTTGAGTGTTCATCGTTGAGATCAGAAGATTTTGTTACCAAAGGTAAAGAAAATAAAAAATCTGGTTGAGCTAGTTGAACTCATTTCTAAGAAGAAGAAAAAGCCTAAGAAATGAGCCTTGAATTCTTTCGCACTAGATACAGGTATCCACATAGAAGCTTCAGAAGCAGTGGATAATATTTCATCTTATAATCTTAAGTTTGGTTGAGTTAGTGGGGCCCATTTCTAAGTGAGAAAATAAAAGGAATTTCTTTTTACACCATATAGTATAAAGAAATACCCTACGTGTTTTCTAAAATACTCCTAAAAAATCAGAAATATATTTCTAATGTGCATCCATGCACACATAATTTATTCGTTTTTGAGATTTGTCCTATTTTACGATAAAATTTATTTCGGAAATTCCCGAAAATGCACTTGCTTTTATATGAGGCGCAATTTGCATTTCAGTTCATGCCTTGAAAGCATAATCACATTGCCGGTAGGATCAAATGGCGGATAATGTGTAAATCTATGTTTATTGTGGAAAAAAGAGAGATATTGTGGCTGCTGTCTATAAATATATCTTTTAAAAAATCATTGTGAAGTAACAATTGTCGCTCCTTTTCCCCTACATGGACGAGAGGCACCACACCTTTTCTAAACGTGTAAACTTAAGTAGGATGGTTATAGGCCTATTGAAGAGTTTCAGATTTTCATAAAGGAGCAGCTCACACTGTAGTCAAGAGAAACTAAGATGTCACACAAAATAAACAAATCAAAATAAGACAATTTGATCGATATGGTCAGGACAATAATCTGATGTAGAATTTGACAACATTTTCAAAGTATTATGAAGTGTTTTTTGTTTTTAAAAATTTACATGTCACTCATCAGGTACAAAGCCTGAATAAAGACTTACTCTCCAACAAGAGAGAGGGTCGAGAACAATAAAGACCTTCACTGGAGCATTTAACCCAAGACTTCCACTGAAGGCATTTAACACAAGACATCCATCAGGGGTAAATCGGCCAAGTAAATAAGAACTCCTTGAAAAAAATTCCAAGTAAATAAGAACCTCTGGAAAAAAAAGTCCAAGTAAATAAGAACATATGGAAAAAAGTCCAAGTAAATAAGAACCTCGGGCTAAAAGTCCAAGTAAATAAGAACCTCTAGAAAAAAAGTCCAAGTAAATAGAAACTTCTAGGAAATAAGTTAAGTTAATCGAAACCTATGACCGGGTTAAGTTAATATACTTAGGACCATCAAGATATGTCATATTAATCTATCTTGGGTACTGTTGACAAACAATTTTCGACTAGGGAAATATTCCTTTAAGCTGTAAAATTAAAGAGCTAAAAAGGCATGAGTTTTGTAGGAAAAAACAGGATATGTCGAGCAAGGGAAAGGACATCGACCAAGGGAGCTAGTCGAAGAGTACATGAGGTTCAGAGGCAGCTGTCGACAGAAACAGAGGTCGACGAAGCAAGGAGTTATATTAGCGAAAACAGTTATCAACGTGCAAGTCAGCGAGAACGTGGGAATATTCAAAACAGTTTTTCACGAAGTCCAACGTGGGCTAGTAACCGTCGATGGTTACATAGTTAGGATTTCTATTTAATAAAATGTTTGTATTTGTGTCAAATGTTACATTTCTTCACATTTAGAGCATTACACTCAAAGTTTCCACATCTAAGAGAGAAATGAGTTTCAGGCTTAACAATGTATGAATGCTTCCACCTTAAAATTCATAGTAATTTCCAGTTTTTACTTTGAAATTACAAGTCTTGCCTTTAATTTCTCTACTTTGTAATTGTCTTTATCTTTTGCCCTTTTACCTTTTATAAAACAATTCTCAATCCAAAAAACACTCAAAAAACTAAGTCTAGGATTATTCTATCCGATTCTATAAGTAAACTTTAATAAGAGGCTAGCGATTGTTTCACGGAGAAACAGATTGGCACGCTCAGTAGGACACATTTGTGTTTGAGTCTTCTTATTTCGTGCATGAAATTAAGAAGTGCTAGAAGAATGGTAGATCCTATAACTCATGAAAGGAATCAAAATCCGGGAGGAAATACCAGAGCAACTACGAGTGTAGGTTCTTTTCCGGTTGTCGTGTCTTCGAATTCACCAACCATAGTTACCACAACAAAATCAGTAACTGCAAGACCACCAATGGTCACAACTTCTGGCCAATATGTATCTAGTTTTGCAAGAGAAACACACGATGGTGTGATTCCAACTTCTGGGAAATATGTGCCTAGTTTTTCAAGAAATATACATGAGTATGGAATGCCCCAACAATGATGTTAGGACTGCATACTAGCAGACTGACATTTGGCTAAAATTCTGCATTTTGCCTATATCGTGGTTCGGGGTTATCAGGAAACCAATTTGGGCATTCGATTGGGTTGGGATTCTCCAACCAAATTATGCATACTTTCACCCCAAGTACTGTTTCTATAATGAGGAAACAAGTGAATGAAAGTAACCATGAAATGGTCAATATGCTGACTCAACAAATGATTATCATATTAAGACCGTTGATTGAGAATTCAGTGCAGAGTTATCAGATGTTAGCGACTCAAATGACTTGTATCAGAGACATCCTTGGTGCCCCAAGAGCGCCAGTTCGACAAGCTGCACCTCCCTCACGTGAGAAACCAGTGCAGTACGAGGAGGTGGTCGACGAAGCAGTCGAACAAGAACCACCAACTCCCTAGTGTGTCGACCCTATACTTAGGATAGTACAGCAACCCCCAGTAGTAATATCGAACCAAAACCAGAATGCCGACCAAATGGTCAAGCAGGTTCGATGAGAAGTAGTGGTTGGGGAATAAAACCTAGAAGCCATTGTCGAAAGGATTATGGTTAGGAATAGGATGAATACTGACTGTCAGAGGACTATGTGTGTTTCTCCATTTCCAGATTTCATGCTACAAACAGAGTTACCAAGAGGTTAGAAACTCCCAAAGTTCACTAAATTTACAGGGGATGTCGAAGAATCTACTGTCGAACATGTTACCAGATACCAAACACAACTTGGTGAATTAGTAGTGAATGAGGATTTAAGGATGAAGTACTTCCCAAATTCCCTTACAAAGAATATGTTTACTTGGTTTACAACATTTCTCCCACAGTCAGTCCACATGTGGACCTAGTTAGAGAAATTATTTCATGAACAATTCCACACGAGGTAGTAAAAAATAAGCTTAACAGAATTGTCCAATGTAAAACAAAAAAGCACTGAGTCAATAGATCAATACCTTAACAGGTTTAGACTTATGAAAGTGCAGTGCTTTACACAATTCCCTGAACACGAGTTGGTCAAAATGGATGCAAATGGGTTAGAGTATTCCATTAGGGAGAAATTGTTGGATACTCTGTCTTTGAAGGATATGGATCAATTATCTATCAAAGTTCAACTGATCGAACATTTGAAAGCTAAAAAAACAAAGTCAAACAAGTATCATAAGAAAGGTAAAGTTGCTTATGTGGCAACTGATGAATATTTTTCTGACGAAAATGA